ATTAGTAATAACAGTAAATATGTTCTTATCTGAATAAAGATCTGAAAACATTTCTCCTTGGCAAAAACTTTTGGTTTCCTTAAAGCAGTTGCTTCTTCTTGATATTTATAAAAATGGTAAAATGTCTTATAGAAGTTCATAATTTCAATAAAAAATAGAAATATCAAAATGTACAAAACATAAAGAAGAAAAATATTAAATAGATATACTAATTTTTTCAATAAAACATATATTTATTATGGTACACACATATAGGTGCTATAATAGACAACAAATAATTAAAATTAAATGTTATACTAATATTAAAAATGACTATTCTATTATCATGCTATTAAAACATGCACAATTATATATGTTGTGCTTGGGTGCTAAGAATGCATCTGCTGTGATATCTACTATATCAGGGATGGTGAACCTTTTTGTGTTTGTGTGCCATATTGTAAGCATACTTAGCTTTAGAGATGTTTATGCGTGTCAAAGTTTCAGACTTCGAATAAAGATATTTAAAGAAATTAAACGAATATGCTTTAATTAGAATAAATGTAAAACGCTGATTAAAAAAAGGATGATCAGGTGATAAACTGAAAAGATGATTGAAAAAGACAGAAATTGTATGATACATGCCAGATGATTTCTCCTTACGTGCCACTTTGGGCACGCATGCCATAGGTTTGCCACCCCTGTTCTATATGTAATCAGTAGCAATTAGGTGATACTTTTGGGAAAATATGTTGTTTTTTCCAATTCACCTTCATTTACAAATCCATTTACAATAAATTTATTCTAGAATAAATAAATTTATGTTCATGCTTTACTTCTTTTTAGGAGTATTTACAAGGGGAGTCTGATATTAAAGGTACAGGCCAAAATTACACTAACATTTATAATTACAGAAAATATTTAATACATTCCACAAAAACTACATACTTTTGTTTATTTCTTGACATAATTGTTGTAAACATTGAGACATTTATCCTAACATGACACTAGTTTGAACATCTTTACATGGTACTGTTGTCAAGTTGCTCGAGTAGTCCAGAACAGTGTCTTCCAATTCCTCCTGATCTGCAAAGAATTTCCCTGCCAAAAGATTTGTTTAAAGGTCTGAATAAATGAAAATCCAAGGGGGCTAAATCTAGACTATACTCCACAGGTCAAATTAATCCAAACTGTGGTTGGCGCAGAGGAATTGGAAGATCCTGCAACATCCTTCATATAGTCCAAAGTTAGCATTCAATCAATACAAGATATTTACAACTATTTCAAGAAAATAAGATGAATTTATTTTCTCATTTATTTTAAATTTATATATGTTTTTTATTTTTAATAACATTTTATAATTTTAATATTTTTATCTTTTAATAAATAATTTTATTTTAAAAGTTTTTAGCACAGCATCAGAATAACTCATGGATTTTTTTTTTTAAATACTTTGTATGAAATATATTTTAATAAAACTATTTTTATAAAAAAATTGTATGTTGTCATTATTTTACATTAAACATTCAAACATCAATATTGTTCATACATCAACACAATATTCTTCCATTCATATAAAAAGTCAGTGTCATGTTGTGTGAGTGAAGAAACTTTTAAAAATTATTTTTAAAACTAACTTTCTATAGCAGAATTACTAAAATATTTAATATTTAATATGTAGAATATACTCCAAAGAAACCTGATTGGATAGTTCATGAAGAAACAAGGAAACGAGAAGCTGGTAGGATAGGTTTTCTACTTACTGTAATTTATAATCTATAATTAAGTTCTAAATTTTATATAGATAAGTAATTTAAAACTTATCTTTAATTTTAAAATTTACGTAAATCTCTAATAATATAGAGTGGTACGGATGGCTATTTTAAATACTTTTTAAGAGTCCTAGCCCAATTTCTTTAGAGCTCCCTAGTAAAAATATCATTTGAAGTTGTGTGTTAATGGTACAGTACATGATTTCAAATGACAAGACATGATACGATATAACAACATTTGACATCATGTTGTATTTGGCAAATGATAGGAAAGATATCACTTAGTGTTTTCATGATGTATTATTTATTTTCATCTGTTAAAATATTTTGTGCACTTTAAATTTTTGAAATAATGTCAAGTAACTTGTTGCAATTGACATCATTTGATATCATGTCTAGAAGCTTTTGAAAATACCTTGAAAAATATTGTAAAAATGCACTTGTTTCATTTGAAACTGTCTGAAAATCATCTTAGACACAATATCTCTTGATATCATTTTTGTAATGGTTTCCGATTGATTTCAAATGACATTACTCAATAACAAGTGATACCATCATTTCATAGCATGTCACATTATTTATTTGGTCATTTGAAATCATATCATTAGTTATATCAAATGATATAATACCTCATCATTTGGTCATTTAAAACATCATATCTAAAGAGATTTTTGAGCTATCACTTGATATTTAAAAATGGTGAAATGATATTTTTACTAGGAAGGCATTATACAAATACAGATATAGTACAAAAATATTACTAATGAGCAGTGAGATGAGGTTCCTTAGAAGGCAAAAGCAACTTGGTTGTGTATCTGTTAATGCATCCCTAGGTCCAAAAGTCAGTTAACCATTGCAGAACCTTAATTTCTCAAAATGAAATAATTTGTTTTTAACTCATAAATTACAATACTTTAAAAAAATGTATCAAAGTTCTTTTATAACTTGTTCATGTAATTCAAATGTAATTGTGTAATTGATGTCATGGTTATCTGACTTATGGACCACTCTGTGCATAGCACACTGTTGAAAAATTAGTTTATTTAAATGACTTAAATGAATTGAAATAAATAACAATTATTGCATTGAGCATCTTATTTGTTCCATAATATACATACAAGCAATTGCTTATATGTAATAATCAAAATTATATACATTAGCTTAATATATATTAAGTAAGATCAAATGTTACTGCATTATTTCTTAGCATGCTTTTATTAGAATATAATTTAGTAGTTACAAAGCTACTTTTGAGTGTTTGTATTTTATAAATAATTAGTAGTCTGTCATGTATAAAAACAATAAGGTAGCTCATCATTATATCGTGCATGTAGGGAGACAAAGCAAACAAGTGATATATCAGATGACACAATATAACCAATGCAGCTATCCATTATTGGTTAAGCGCTTTCATATTTGGGAGAAAAAAAATATGCAATGTATCTGAATGAGTGATATAATAAGGAGCAATATAACAAGGGTCTACTGCGTATTGAATGTATCATTACATAATTTTGGAATGACATAATCAATTAATCATACTGCATGGTCAAATATTTTTTTCTAATATTTATGACACGGGTCCCCAAACTTTTCAAGAGGAGGGCCACATTACTAATTCTGACAACAGCAGTGGGCCAGAGTGATTTAATATTGCACATATCTATATATGTAAATTTTAATAAGGTTCTATGCAGTGCCGGCCCAAGGCCTGTTTTAAGATGGAGCGAGATCCTATTATGGTGCCCCCTTGGTTGCCCCTAATTTATACCTTTTAATTTTCTTTACTACTGAGGCACTCCCTAGGACTTGGCGCCTGGAGCGTCTGCTCCGTTCGCCCTATGGTAGGACCGGCTCTGGTTCTATGATTATTAAGAAAATACATTACAAATATCATTTATTTTGGGAAGCAGTTAGGTAGTTATCCAAGTTTTGGATTTTCCAAAAAAATGGGACCTCTGTTTTTAAATAAATGTGGTCTTATTGCTTACTCTCCCTGGCTTCAGTTTGAATTGTTTAATACAAGTTAAATATTTTTTTAAATTGTGATTTTTTTTTTAGTTATCTAGAAGCTAGTTATTGAACTAGATAAAATCTCATCGTGGGCCAGATCTGGCTCTCAGGCTGTAGTTTGGGGACCCCCTGCTTATGACCATTTCTATTCACATAATGCTATTTTTTTTTTAAATAAAATACAATTACAGTGATTGGAAAATCTACTGATTATGTAAAAATTAAACTACCCTCATATGAAAAAAAAAACTAAAATTAAAGTTATTGTTATCATTAATTGTCTAGCTTTTGATGATGATGACAGTGTCGGATTATTCAAATTTGATAAACATTTATAAGTTTTTAAAGTATAAAGCCATTTTGTCAATATCTTGTTAATTTAAAAACTTTATATATTCATAAGAAAACTGAATAAAACATATAGAAATTTCCAATGTTGTCATTATTATCACACTTTATACAGTTTCAAAAAGCATTAAAAAATTCCCAATAAAGACTTTATTCCTGAAGAATGTTAAGAAACTTATTATCATTAGAAAAAACTCACAGAATTATTATTGTATTTTGTTATTTTTCGTTACTGAATTAATTTATTACTGAATTTTTGTTACTGAATTTATTTTTAAGAAATTTAACAATTTCAAACAAAATGTTTATTCAAATTGTTTTTAGTATTCCTAAAAATAAAAATTAAGATTGAAAACATTTAGATTTAATATACACATATAAATTTCTTGTTTTTGTAATGAGTAAGTAATGAGAGATTTAGAAAAAAACAAGAAAAACTTCATGTACTGTACCTAAGATGATGAGCATTCTTGAGGATGATTAATAGTTTTATTAGGTTTTTACAGATTACTTATTTCTTATTAAAAAATTTCTTAAAACTTATTACAGAGAAACCTCAACCACCTACATTTAGAGCACCTCTTAGGGATGTCTTTGCAAAAACTATTGGAAGTTCAACAACGATTGAATGTATAATAAGTGGAAATCCTAGACCACAAGTAACTTGGTATTTTAATGACCGGGAAATAGATGTGACAACAGGTCGTTATCGAGTTACCTACTTAGAAGATCGTATTCTTCTGCATATTCTTCGAATTGATTATGATGTGGAAGGAAGATATACATGCAAGGCGGTAAATGAAAATGGTGAACAAATATCAACTGCATTCCTATATGTTGGAGGTGTGTATGATATTTATTATTCTTTATCATAAATAATAAATCTATTGTGTTTCTTACTATAATAATATATTAGTAATACAAAATAGTAAAAATAAAAGCTGTAATAATGACATTTCTTGCAAAGTTTTATAAATACATAAATTCTATTTTAAATTTATTTAATTATATTTAAAATTAAATTCAATGTTTTTAATTCAATATAAAAAATCTAATATTAATTTGCTACACTGTATTATAAATTTTATACATTTTTTTACAACTTTAAATTAATATTTTAAGATTATACTCACTAATGCTTAATTAAAAATATTGGTACCAGCTTTTAATTTTATCACAGTAGCACAATTTTTTAATCTATATATTCTATTTATATATATAGTCTTCCAAAATGAATGCTACCATTTTAAATTACTGTATTTATGTTAATTATTCTTCAAGAAGTATGTAATATATACCATAAACTAAATGTCTGAGTTTCATCTTCCATCTGCATTAAAACATCTTGTCGTTACTACCTCCAGGAAGCACTGTAAATGAAAATGGTGACTCTACAACAGAGAAAGCATTTTGTATTCTGCAGTTCACAAAGGTGAATTGCTCATCTTTGTGCACAATGAGTAATTTACAGAAGCTGTAGAATTGTGGCTATTGTGAAAGGAGTGGCAATGAATATGTTGTAATGAGCATAGGAAGAAAATGATTATCTGTTGGACACATGTCACGTGAACAAGGTACCCACAATGAGAAATTGTAATGGAAAATGTGAAACCTGTTTTCCAATGTTTTAATGGATATTACTACATTCTCACATAATAATTAACATAATTACAACAATTTAATTATAATTTTATAATTTAATTAATTAATTTAATTTAATAATTTAATTATAATGTTAAAATGACCTCGTTTAACACTGTTTCATTTAGTGCTTTGTCGTCTAAGAACACATCCCCCACTAAAACGACACAGTGTTAAATGAGGTCATTTTAACATAGAGTAAATAGGGAAAGGGGAACACATGACCAAAAATAAACAAATTTTACTTTAATTTTAAGTTATTTTTTTATTAATTTGCATAATAATATATGTTAAATAACACAAACATATGCACACAGAAATGTAAAGTTCATTTTTGTGATGAAGGTCCTGGCTATTCTGAAATTTTTGTGTTTTGTGATAAAGTTGTGTAGTTTCATTTGTCACTTTTTCTTTCCTTAAACAAATGTTTGTAGCAAGAGATTACATCCAAAACGACTTGTCTTGCTTTTGCACTCTTTCAAAATCTGGATCATTCGCTACAATTTGATCAACAATTTCAGTTATTGTTACCAAACTTTTACTAAGCAAATCTTTAGGGAAATTTCTTGGGTTCTTCCTTTTCAGAATCTCTGTTTTCCAGTTCTACATGAATTCCTTGTTCTGCCAGTTCATGAAGGTCATTGTTGGAAAGGCTCTCACCAGAAACCTGCAGTAACTCCTCAATATCCTGCTTGTCTACACCTCCTAGACTTGCTGTATTGATTAGGTTGACGATTTGGTCAACCTAATGATACAGTGATAGGTTCTTCTCGTTGAGAATTCTTAGATACCTTCAGCCATAACTTCTTCCATACTTTTTTCATGCATTTATCAGTTAATTCTTGCCAAGCAAAGTTAATACAGTAGAGCCTCGAAAACTCGGCACTCGATAACCCGGCACTCCAGATAACTCGGCCATACCCTGGCAGGGCAAAAAATACCTTAGTTAATTAATTTTCATGATAAAGACAGCTTTATGCCTCATAAAGTGTTTTTCTGAGGTCTGTCTTAACAAGTAAATTACTGTACACAGTGTATTCATTAATTTTCATTTTCATGTAGTAAAGGCTCTATGCCTTCATAAAAGACGTACTTTTCCTTTGTTTAAGGGTATTTGGGCAGTTTATTCTCTGTTGTATTCTGAAGTAAACAATACATACAAGTACAGTACAGTATTTTCTGAGGAAACGCTCATACTTACTTTTTTAACGCCATTCCCAATAACCCGGCATTTTCACAAACTCGGCCACCCTTCGGTCCACATTAGGCTGAGTTTCGAGACTCTACTGTATTGTCTATGGCATCCATGATGATATATTTTTTCCAAAATTGCATCAAACATAGATTTAAGGAAAGTACAGCACTACAAGAAATTGCCACCTTTTGCTGACTGGTTCATGTTTGGAAATAATCAATGAAATGCTGCAATAATTTGAATATTGTAAATTTTTAGTGTAAATTTTGAGTTTTTTTTAAGCTTCAAGTAGACTGCGTTATATCAAATCAGTATTAATCGATGCAGCATTAAGTGGATTCTTACTGTACTTGTTTCATATATAAAATAATTTGAATATTTTATCATCTTATTCACACTATAAAATATCAGTTTCAATGGAAATTATACAAAAAATGTTAATAAATACTTGAAATATTTAATAAAAAATTATAATGTATTGTTTATGAAAATTATTAAAGTTTAACCTCATAAAGTTCATTCATATATTGAAAGTTTTAAAAATTAATTTTTAAATATCTTCAATATTTTAATATCTATTTTTAATATTTTTAATGCTATTTATTAAAAAAGTAAAAAATAAATAAAAATATTAAATTATATATCATTTTTCGGTTAAAATAACTTTCAATGAATAAAATTTCTTTTTAGTTACTAGAGAAGATTATCTTTCTGGTATATGGACAAAAATTAGACAGGAAGAAATTGTACTAAGACCAGAAGAACCTATTCAGGAAGAACCTGAAAAACCTCTCATAAATGGAAGTGAAATCCAATATCCAGTACAGAAAATAATTAAACCTAAAGAAAAAACAATAACACAGAAAACAGAAACAAGTACTTCAGAATTAACATTTGTTAAGCGAAAACCAATTGTACAAAGACCTAAGCCTAAAGAAGAAGAACCTGAAATAGTTTCATTAAAACCTATTCCTAGAAAAATAATTACAGTTGAAAGCAAAGAAAGGAAGCCGATGACAGCAAAAATTATTGATAAAGAACCAGAAAGAGAAACAGTGACATTGAAACCATTAAAACAGGAAGCGAGAGAATTTATCATTGAAACTATTGAAAAGAGAAGACGAGATGTTTCCATTGAGAGTATTGAGAGAAAACCAGAACAAAAAGATATAGCATTAAAGGAAATAATAATTGGAGAGAAACCTCAGCCAGAAAGAGAAATTACACTAGAAAGTATAGAAAAACGAAAACATGAAATAACTATTGAAAGTATTGAGAAAAAGCCACAAACAGAAGAAATGATCATTAAAACCAGAGAAAAGAAAAAACAAGAGCCAACTGAAACTGTTGAAAAGAAGAAAAAAATTGTTCAAAAACCTAAAGAGAAAGAACCTGAAAGAGAACAAGTTATATTAAAACCCATAAAAAGAAAAGAAGAGCCTAAGCCAAAAGAAGAAAAACCAGAAAAGAAACCAAGTAAAAAGAAACCTAAAGAAAAGAAACTGCAAAAAGAAGAAATCCAAAAATTACCCTTGGAAGAGAAAGTAGAACCATTGCCAATATTCGAGAGAGAAGAAGAAACCGTAAGTATTGAAAAATCAACAAAAGATATTACTTTAAAATCTATAGAAAAGAAACCAAAGAAAGAAAAAGAAGTTGTAACACCAGTTTTGAAGAAACCTAAAGATCAAGAAGTCACAATAGAGAGTATACAGAGAAAAACTCAAGAAGTAACAATAGAGACAATTGAAAGGAAACCAGAAGAGCCAAAGAAGGTAATCTTAGAGATTACTAAGAAAGAACCAGAAGAAAGAGAGATTACTTTAGAAAGTATTGAAAGAAGAGTACAAGAAGTTACAGTTGAGGCAATTGAAAAGAAACCAGAAGAACCAAAGAAGGTAATCCTAGAGATTACTAAGAAAGAACCAGAGGAGAGGGAAATTACTTTAGAAAGTATTGAAAAACGACGACATGAAATTACAATTGAAACTATAGAGAAGAAACCTCAAAGAGAACAAATTGTTATTAAAACTAAAGAGAAAAAGCCAACAGAAAAAGAAGTTACTGAAATAACAAGAGAAGAAGTGACATTAAAACCTGTAAAAAGGAAACCTATAGAGAAGAAACCTGTAAAAGAGGAAGTTGTATTAAAGCCTATACCAAGAAAAGCTGAAGAAGAAGAAATCATAACAGAAACTACAAGACAAGAAATAACATTAAAGAGTATAGAAAAGAAGCCAAAGAAAGAAGAAGTTGTTTTAAAACCAGTATTGAAGAAACCAAAAGAACAAGAGGTCACAATTGAAAGTGTAGAGAGAAAGAAACAGGAGGTTACAATTGAAACAATAGAAAAGAAACCAGAGGAGCCAAAGAAAGTGATATTTGAACTTACTAAGAAAGAACCAGAAGAAAGAGAAATCACATTAGAGAGTATAGAAAGGAGAAGGCAAGAAGTAACAATTGAAACTATAGTTAGAGAGTATAGAAAGGAGAAGGCAAGAAGTAACAATTGAAACTATAGAAAAGAAACCACAAAGAGAACAAATTGTTATTACAACCAAACCAAAAGAAGAAATTACTACTGAAACAATTGAAAAAGAGGAACAAGAAGTACATCTTAAAAGTATAAAAAAGAAACCAGAGAAGGAAGAAATTACTATAAAACCAACTGAAAGAAAAAGAGAAGAACAAGAAATAACAATAACTACAATTGAGAAGAAACCAAAGAAGAAGGAGATTGTAGAGAAAAAGAGAGAAAAACAAATTATTGAAAAAGTGAAAGAAGTTGAAGAAATTGATATTGAACTTGAAACTAGAAAGAGACAACAAATAGAAATAGCTTCTACCATAAAACCATCAATGCCAGAATTGCAAACACTTCCAAAAATGGTAGAAGATATCACAGAACAACTTAAAATTATTCCAAGTCAAACTCAATCAGCAATTCAGCACCTTACAACTACAGAACATATTTCTGTTACAGAAATTACAGCTGAATCTCAGGTTCAGCAATTAGTTGTACCTGATATAGAGAAAAAGGTAAGTGCTCAAATAAAAGTATCCCCGCAACAGCCACTTACAATATCCGAAGTGAGAACAGAACAAATTTCAGAAGATTTTAAACATATTAAAACACATGATGTCCGAGCAGGTTTAACTATAAGTACCGCTGAACATATAGCAGTAGCTGAAATTGAATCTCAGGAAGGATTAGGGGAATTTGCCAAAGATCAAATACCAGGAACAGTGAAAGCAAAGTCATTAGTAAGTTCAGTACAACCATTGACTATTTCAGAAATTACAACAGAACAGGAAGCTGGAGATTTGAAGCCGATACCTTTGCCTAAACCAATGCAAGCAGATATTGCTATATCAGAAACAGAATCATTTCAAATATCAGAAATTACTTCAGAAGAAAGACCTGGAATATTTGCCCCAGGAAAATTACCTGGAGAAGTTAAAGCTGGAGTTAAATTCACAACTAAGGAATCATTTGCAGTTTCTGAAATAGCCACAGGAGAACAACCAGAAGAATTCCTACCAGGAAGACTGCCAGGAGAAGTAAAAGCAAAAACATTAATCGATACAAAACAATCAGTATCAATTTCTGAAGTTACTACAGAACAAGAAACACAAGAATTAGTTATTAAACAGAAACCAAAGGAAGTAAGGGCAGTTCTAGGTGTTTCTGAAATTGAATCATTTGAAGTATCTGAAATAACATCTGAAGAAAGTCCAGGTACTTTTGCTCCTGGTAAATTACCCGGTGAAGTAACAGCAGGAATTAAATTTACAACTAAGGAATCATTTTCTGTTTCGGAAATTTCAGCTGGAGAGCAGCCTGAAGAATTTTTACCAGGTACATTACCTGGAGAGGTCAAAGCAAGAAGAGCAATTGACACAAAGCAGTCCATCTCAATTTCTGAAGTAACAACTGAACAAGGCACAGAAGAATTAATAACCCTACAAAAACCAAAAGAAGTACAAGCAAAAATAGGGGTGTCAGAAATAGAATCATTTGAAATATCTGAAATTACCTCTGAAGAAAGACCAGGTACATTTGCTCCTGGTAAATTACCTGGTGAAGTTACAGCAGGTGTGAAATTCACCACCAAAGAATCATTCTTAGTTTCTGAAATATCTGCAGGTGAACACCCTGGAGAATTTTTGCCAGGTACATTACCTGGAGAAGTGAAAGCTAAAACCTTAATTGATACTAAGCAGTCCATCTCAATTTCTGAAGTAACAACAGAACAGGGTGCTGAAGAATTAATAATTAAACAAAAGCCAAAGGAAGCTCAAGCAATCGTAGGAGTGTCAGAAATTGAATCATTTGAAATATCAGAAATTACATCTGAAGAACGACCAGGAACATTTGCACCAGGCAGATTACCTGGTGAAGTAACAGCAGGAATTAAATTTACAACTAAAGAATCATTTTCTGTTTCGGAAATTTCAGCTGGAGAGCAGCCTGAAGAATTTTTACCAGGTACATTGCCAGGAGAGGTAAAAGCAAGAAGGGCAATTGACACAAAGCAGTCCATCTCAATTTCTGAAGTAACAACAGAACAAGGTGCAGAAGAATTAATTATTAAACAGAAACCAAAAGAAGCACAGGCAAAAATAGGAGTATCAGAAATTGAATCATTTGAGATATCTGAAATTACTTCAGAAGAAAGACCAGGCACTTTTGCACCAGGCAAATTACCTGGAGAAGTTACGGCCGGAGTTAAATTCACAACTAAGGAATCATTCTCTGTCTCTGAAATATCTGCAGGTGAACATCCAGGAGAATTCTTACCAGGTACCTTGCCAGGAGAGGTAAAAGCAAGAAGGGCAATTGACACAAAGCAGTCATTATCAATTTCTGAAGTCACAACTGAACAAGGTGCAGAAGAATTAATTATTAAACAGAAACCAAAAGAAGCACAGGCAAAAATAGGAGTATCAGAAATTGAATCATTTGAGATATCTGAAATTACTTCAGAAGAAAGACCAGGCACTTTTGCACCAGGCAAATTACCTGGAGAAGTTACGGCCGGAGTTAAATTCACAACTAAGGAATCATTCTCTGTCTCTGAAATATCTGCAGGTGAACATCCAGGAGAATTCTTACCAGGAACATTACCTGGTGAAGTTAAAGCTAAAACTTTAATTGATACTAAGCAATCAATTTCTATTTCTGAAGTAACAACAGAACAGGGTGCTGAAGAACTAATAATTAAGCAAAAACCAAAAGAAGCTCAAGCAATCATAGGTGTTTCTGAAATTGAATCATTTGAAGTATCTGAAATAACATCTGAGGAAAGACCAGGTACTTTTGCTCCTGGTAAATTACCTGGTGAAGTTACTGCAGGTATAAAATTTACAACTAAAGAATCATTCTCAGTCTCTGAAATATCTGCAGGAGAACATCCAGGAGAATTCTTGCCTGGAACTTTGCCAGGAGAAGTGAAGGCTAAAAGGGCTATTGATACTAAGCAATCAATATCTATTTCAGAAGTAACAACAGAACAAGGTGCAGAAGAATTAATATTAAAACCAAAACCAAGAGAAGTCCAAGCAGTTATTGGGCTTTCTGAAATTGAATCATTTGAAATATCTGAAGTAACATCTGAAGAGAGACCAGGAACTTTTGCTCCTGGTAAATTACCTGGTGAAGTTACTGCAGGTATAAAATTTACAACTAAAGAATCCTTCTCAGTGTCTGAAATATCTGCAGGTGAACATCCAGGAGAATTCTTGCCAGGAACATTACCTGGAGAAGTGAAAGCTAAAACCTTAATTGATACTAAGCAGTCTATCTCTATTTCTGAAGTAACAACAGAACAAGGAGCAGAAGAATTAATAATTAAGCAAAAACCAAAAGAAGCTCAAGCAATCATAGGTGTTTCTGAAATTGAATCATTTGAAGTGTCTGAAATAACATCTGAAGAGAGACCAGGAACATTTGCACCAGGCAGATTACCTGGAGAAGTTACAGCTGGAGTTAAATTTACGACAAAAGAATCATTCTCAGTCTCTGAAATATCTGCAGGTGAACATCCTGGAGAATTCTTACCAGGTACCTTGCCAGGAGAGGTAAAAGCAAGAAGGGCAATTGACACAAAGCAGTCATTATCAATATCTGAAGTCACAACTGAACAAGGTGCAGAAGAATTAATATTAAAACCAAAACCAAAAGAAGTCCAAGCAGTTATTGGGCTTTCTGAAATTGAATCATTTGAAGTATCTGAAATAACATCTGAGGAAAGACCAGGTACTTTTGCTCCTGGTAAATTACCTGGTGAAGTTACTGCAGGTATAAAATTTACAACTAAAGAATCCTTCTCAGTGTCTGAAATTTCAGCAGGAGAACATCCTGGAGAATTCATGCCTGGAACATTACCTGGAGAAGTGAAAGCTAAAACCTTAATTGATACTAAGCAGTCTATCTCAATTTCTGAAGTAACAACAGAACAGGGTGCTGAAGAATTAATAATTAAGCAAAAACCAAAAGAAGCTCAAGCAATCATAGGCATTTCTGAAATTGAGTCATTTGAGGTATCTGAAATTACCTCTGAGGAAAGACCAGGTACTTTTGCTCCTGGTAAATTACCTGGTGAAGTTACTGCAGGTATAAAATTTACAACTAAGGAATCCTTCTCAGTTTCTGAAATTTCAGCAGGAGAGCATCCAGGAGAATTCTTGCCTGGAACTTTGCCAGGAGAAGTGAAAGCTAAAAGAACAATTGATACTAAACAATCAATATCTATTTCTGAAGTAACAACAGAACAGGGTGCAGAAGAATTAATATTGAAACCAAAACCAAAAGAAGTCCAAGCAGTTATTGGACTTTCTGAAATTGAATCATTTGAAATATCTGAAATAACATCAGAAGAAAGACCAGGAACATTTGCACCTGGAAAATTACCAGGAGAAGTTACAGCAGGAGTAAAATTCACTACTATGGAATCATTTTCTGTTTCTGAAATATCTGCTGGAGAACATCCAGGAGAATTTCTACCAGGAACATTACCAGGAGAAGTAAAAGCCAAGACATTAATTGATACCAAACAGTCAATATCAATTTCTGAAGTTACTGCAGAACAAGGAGCAGAAGAATTGATAATTAAACAAAAACCAAAAGAAGTCCAGGCATTTATTGGACTTTCTGAAATTGAATCATATGAAGTCTCTGAAGTAACTTCTGAAGAAAGACCAGGAACATTTGCACCTGGAAAATTACCAGGAGAAGTTACAGCAGGAGTAAAATTCACTACTATGGAATCATTTTCAGTTTCTGAAATATCTGCAGGAGAGCATCCAGGTGAATTTTTACCAGGTACATTACCTGGAGAAGTCAAAGCAAAACAATCAATTGATACTAGGCAATCGATATCAATATCTGAAGTTACTCCACAACAAGGTGCAGAAGATTTAGTAATAAAACCAAAACCAAAAGAAGTCCAAGCAATTATTGGTCTTTCTGAAATTGAATCATATGAAGTCTCTGAAGTAACTTCTGAAGAAAGACCTGGCACCTTTGCTCCTGGTAAGTTACCTGGAGAGGTTACAGCAGGAGTGAAATTCACTACTATGGAATCATTTTCAGTTTCTGAAATATCTGCAGGAGAACATCCAGGTGAATTTTTACCAGGTACATTGCCAGGTGAAGTTAAAGCTAAAACATTAATTGATACTAAACAATCAGTATCAGTATCTGAAGTAACAACAGAACAAGGAGCAGAAGAATTAATAATTAAGCAGAAACCCAAAGCAGCACAAGCAACTATTGGCCTTTCTGAAATAGAATCATTTGAAGTATCAGAAATAACATCTGAAGAAAGACCAGGTATCTTTACCCCAGGAAAGTTACCTGGAGAAGTTACAGTAGGAATTCAATGGATGGCAAAAGAATCACTTTCTGTTTGTGAAGTTTCAGCAGCACATGCACCAGGTGAATTTATTCCTTCTAAAAAACCAGATGCAGTTACAGCTTTATTAAATATAACTCCCAAACAATCATTTACTGTATCAGAAATAACTCCATCTCAAACTTCTAAAGAATTTAAAACAAAGGAGGCACCTCTTAGTCATCAAGCTAAAGAAATATGGACTCCTAAAAAATCTATATCAATATCAGAGGTTATTTCTGAAGTAGTAGCAGAAGAGTTAAAACTTATGGAAAAACCTGAACCAAAGAAATTAACATATGAAATTGCTAGTCAAGAAACTATTGGTGTCTCTGAAGTAACTCTTCAAGATCAATTTGATACACTTAAACCTAAAGATAAACCAGCTGAGGAAAAAGCTGATGTAAACATATCTTCACATCAATCTGTAGCAGTATCAGAAATTTTAAGTGAGTTGCAACCAACAGACTTTATACCAGAACGTGCTGTTGAAATAAAAGCAAAATCAAAAATTATGTCAAGAGAATCTGTAGCAGTTTCAGAAGTAATGTCAGAAATGAAAGCTGAAGAATTTACAAGTGCACAATTACCTGGATCTGTTACTGCTAGAGTTGGCTATTCCACAAAAGAATCATATATAGTTGAAGAAGTATTGTTAGAAGAAAAATCCAAAGATTTAATATCTGATAAAAAACCAACGGAAAAGCAAGCATCACTAGCTATAACACCCAGGGAACATGTTAATGTATCCATTACAACATTAGCAGACATTCCAGATGAACTTGTATCTGACAAGAAACCAGCTCAAGAACAGGCTAATGTTTCCATTACAGCAATTGAATCAATTACAGTTTCAGAAATATCATCTGAAATGAAACCTTCTGAATTTTTATCTCCATTAGCTCCAAAAGAAACTACTGCTCAAATTTCATTTGCTTCTCATGAACCATTAATAATTTCAGAAACAACTGAAATCAGCAAATCAAAAGAATTCATACCTGGCAAACTTCCATTTGAAACAAATGCAAAAGTAAATTTCATTCCAAGGGAGCATATGGCTATTTCTGATGTCGTAACAGAAGCAATGACTGGTGAATTATTACAAGCCAAGCCAGATACACTACAGGCAAGTATCAGAAAAAAAATATGAAGAAAATTTATTTGAATCAGAAGCCAGTTAACAGAACTAAATCACAGCCAAGCAACTGACATAATAATACTATAATACAAGCCAAATAGAATAAAATTAAATCAGCTTTATAATAACAACTGCTTTAATCTGGTTATCAGCTAATATATGCTTCATAATTTTATGCTTCTAAATATTATTCTACAGATATTTACTTATTATCTAATATGAACACTTACAATATACGATGACATGTAGCAGTAGTATAATTAATAAAAAAAAGAACATTTAGCTTGTAACAGTTGATATTCTAGGGGCAAATTCTTTATATCTGTTATCTAATAAATCAAAGCCATTATTTTTAACAATTATTCTCTTCTACCAAAATAACAAGTATTCAAATAATCATTGTATTATGCTTTATTGCTATATTTATTTCATATATATAATTTTCAAATCTAACAAGCACATAACACAGAACAAATAAACAAATTGCTATTAACACTATTCTTATTATATATCATGTGTTTAAAAACTATCTAAATTCTATTTAAACTGTATTATTAAACATTAATATACAATTTAAATATTAAAAATAAGCTAATAATATAATAAAAAACTATTATAATTAAAGAATAACAATATTAAAACAGTGATTATCAAAATAATTGTACATTTATATATGAAATTCAATGTACTTCAAATATAAAACTTCAATCATTTTTACAGAATTTTCCAACTATTATAATTTTTACAGGATGTTATCAAATTTCATAAAATAAATATGTATCAATAAAAATTTGAAAATCACTGTTTAAAATGTTTTACCACGTTAATGATTTATATATAAAATTCAATTTAATAAATAATCATATCATTATTGTTTATAAAAAGGTGACATCTAATAATGAAAAAAATGCTTTAATTGCTTTATTAAAATGCTGTAATATATGTGCTTACTTAATATCTGTTAACTTATTTACCACTGTTATAGCGATTAAAATGAATAATACTTTTAATTATTGCAAAATTAATTAAAAGATGCTTACATAAATACAATGTATAATAATAAATGTTATTAAAACAATAACACATATTGTAACATTTAAGTCTTTTTATACCTATTATAAAGAAACATTTTTTTGCTTTTGAATTCTAAAATTGTTAATTTAAAACAATGAAATATTATAATTTATAAAATTATAATATTTATTCTTAAAAATATACCATATCCACAAACCTAACAGACAGTTCAGCAGTATGAAACCCAGATACTTTCAACTTTCCTGTCTTCAGGATAGACTGAAAATGTTTGGTGTCAGGATTTTGTACTGCTGGACTGTCTTTGAGGTATATTTTTGGTCTACTGTCCAGTTCTGAGACAGTGGAGTTATTACTGTTTATTCTTACAAATACTTAAATTGTAATAGATGACATCACTAATCATTATACCTAAGATACAATATCAATCAGAGAATGATATCAACATATACAAGAATTACTGTAGTTAATCAATATTTTTTTAAAATAACAATTAATACTAATAAATTTGAAAATTCATTTATACAAAAAAGTAATGTAATTAAGCATAAAGAAGTAAAATAAAATAGGTATAAAATGATTTAAATATTAATAATACATAACAAAAATTGTGTATATTGTGAAAAATTGTATTTACTATGTAAATAATTATTTATATGTAATTAATAAATTATTTGTATATATTACTGTACTATATATAACATATACATTCCTGTAATTATTGTAAAACTATAACAAATATTCGTATATTTATTGTTAAACTAATAACTGTATTATAATAATATAACATTTTGTTAATATTAAAAAAATAAATTATACATTAATATCTTTTAACAAGAAGCAATTAAATAAAAAAAATGCTTATTTATCTTGTAAAATAGCTATACTGGCTATTAATAAAAACTTATATTGTCTTATAGTGGCTAAACTAATTAGCAGCTTTTAAAATGCTTTTTATGTGGTTATTTTTATATAAAATTGTAATTATTGAGCTAATATAATTTTTTTACTCTTTAAATGACTAATAAATTATTTTTTAATCCACAGTGTACTATTTATAAATAATAAATTATTATAGCTGTTTTTAAGCTTATTAATTCTTTTTATTATATTTTGTAATTAAAAATTATTAAATACATGTAATTAATACATGTGATTACTGTAATTAATTCTATTTATATGTTTCTGCAATTGTATAACTAATATTGTAATATTTTGTAAATATCATATTTAATAAAGCAGTATTATTAATTTTTTTAACTTAATTTTGCTAAAAATAATTTTGTATTTTATTAAATTAATAAATTTTTATACAGTAATAATATTTTACAATAAACAACTATTAAATTTGTAAGTAATAAATATTTTTATAATGCATTAACAATGCTTTATAATTCTTAAAATGCTTTTTATAATTTTTTACATAACAAAATAAAGCATGTTCATAGTATTTTTAGTATTTTTTTTTTAAAATAAAATAATAGATTATCATAAAAGTAATTATCAAACTAAATCTTTGAAAGTTTAAAATCATGCATGAATATTTAAAATTCCAATTAAATACTAAAATTTAATTATATAAAATTTATAAATTTCTAATCTTTGTTTTTCTTATGTTTTCTTTTTTCCTACAAAAAAAAGCAGGCTGTGATAAATCTGGTTTCTCAACAATCAGTAAGTATTGAGCAAACATTAACTGAAGAGAAAGCAAAAGAATTTCTCCCTCATGAATTACCTGGGACTCAAACTGCCGAGATGACAATATCTTCTAATATAGCGACCGAAATTTCGGAAATTACAGCTTCAGATCAAATAAAAGACTTGAAAACTGAAGATATTGCTGGTTCTAAAACTGCTACTTTAGGAATATCAGAAATACTCTCTGTGCAGGTAAGAATTTAATCTCAATCAATTTTATTGGGTTGTTCGGAAAGTAAGTTCGTTTTTTTTACCACTAGACGGATTAGTGGTATTTTTTCCGCCATTTTCGTTCTAAACCATATTATCATTATATATTTTGACAGCTAGCATTTTATAGCTTATTTGTAAAAAATTTTGTTTGATTTCGTGCAATTGTTTATTTTTTGTGTCCCATCAAATATGGAAGATTGAAAGCAGCATCTTCGGCATATTTTGCTTTTTTATTACCAAAAAAATAAAAATGCCGTTCAAGCAAGAAAAAAATTGTGTGACATGTATGGTGGAGATGTGTTGACAGAATGACAATGCCAAAACTGGTTTACAAAATTTTGTTCTGGCAATTTCAGTATTGAAGATGCACCACATTATGGATGGCTAATTGAAGCCAATGAAAACAAAATAAAAGTACTGATTGAAGCAAACTGCGGAATAACAACACGTGAAATCACTAAGAGATTAAATTTGTCAAATTGAACTGTTTATGAGTACTTGAAACAAATTGGTTTCGTTTCAAAGCTCGATATATGAATTCCACGAGTTCTTAAAGAGA